CACACACACACACACACTTCAGAAGTGTAACTGGAACAAATCATTTCCAACTCTACAGCTGAACAGACTGCTCAGGCTCCTCAGGCTCCACATCATCAGCCCTTAAATCCAACTTCACTATCTGGACTGCTGGGCCACAGTGGGCTACAGGTACCAACTGGACCTCTGTGGGTTAAACTAGACCTAAACTGATCCACTGGCCACTGGTGGTGAGTAACTGACAGATAACCCTGTAGTGGCACAGTTCTGGACTGGTGCTAGTGCCGGTTCAACTTGAGACCCTTCTAAGAACTGGTTTGCTTTTCCACAGGCTAGAGAGCCATTTCATTATGTCACTGTATACATCTTCAACATTAGCTATAGCTGGCTAGCTAGCTGTTGATCAACAGACATTATCCAAGCAAGCATAACTACTAATTTCTCACATCAACAATGCTAACATTAAACTTACATTATTAAACATTGGTGTGAGAAATTAGTACCTGTTTCAGTTAATCCTGTTGTATGTAATCCTATTTTAGAAATGAGCTGCAACAGTAGTTACACAATCAGCCTTTCTGATCACGTCAGGCTTTGAAATATGACGAGGTGCTTCCCACATTTTTACATGTATTTCTTCTTCCAATTCTACCTTGCACTAATTGCACCCTTCCCCACGTCGCTCTCCTCTTTTCTTTCCAACTTTAACTGTCTGTCCCTCTCATGTCTCTAATCTCTCCGGCTCTCTTGTTGCCTACCTCTCCCCCTCTGTGCCGTGCTGTTTTGGCCCTTGACTCAGCCCATCTGTCCCTGTGTAGCATTGTGCTCCCCAACAAGTCCATCTCACACAGCGCCACATTCCCTCAGGGCAAGTCACATGATCTGCCAAGATGCACATTTCCATACAGGATTTCCAAACAGCTTCAGTAGAGCTGTCGCGGCCATGGTTAATAAAGCTAATAAACACATAGCTGGCTAGCCACAAGGCGCCCCCAGCTATGTTCAAGACCAGTAAAGTGTCGGTGCTCTACTGGAACAGTTTTGCCGGCTGAGAGGTGGTTGTTTGGCTACCTCTGTACTTGAAGAACTGGTTCAAGATTAGGCACTGGCTCTGAACCAGCCCGCAAACTGCCTTGGTTGAAAAGGGGTATTTGTGGCCACACCCACAGATTCAAATAGATCCAGTGTTCCAGTGCTCATGATGGCAACTGACCAATCAGCGTTTAATGAAAAAAACCCAAACAGCGGGGAAAACAAAGAAACACAAGTAGTCAGAAGACGAGTCAAAACCACGGCAAACTGGTGAACTGTCCATAACAACCATCCATCACAGTTTATAGATTGACTTCTTGCTTTTCCACTTGTTATCTTGTTGTAACATAATGATTTTTTATTAGTTAGGAAGGGGACACAACCTCCATGTGACAAAAATAGTACAGTCATCAAACTAGAATATTACAATTCAAAATACTTTGTTTTCCACATGCATTTGTGGATCGAAAGCAGTAAAGTCTTTATTCAAATGTCATCCAGTCACTTGATCCCTGCATACACATTTAATAATCTGTACGTGAAAACATATTTTTAGACTAGATTTATATGAAGCTTTTCTAAACCAAATTCAGGTTAATAGGCTTATGGAAATATATTTGTAGAATACTGACATTTGCTCAATTTAGGTTGCAATTATTTGTAAAATAATTTTACATTTGTTTAAACTAGTTGGTATTTGTGGATTTTGAATTGAATTTGGATTTGTGGATCACGAAACACAAGTTGTACTGAGACTGATTCTCTCCTAAATAAACTAGGACTGACATCTCAGATGTCACTTTCAGTTTTACCTGCAGACAAAGTTGCAGACAAAAAAACTGTTTCTTGACCCGTCAGACTTCTTTTTGATGATGTCACCATGCTCCCAGATCTCAGCTATACTTGCTAAACATACATAAGGAGGAACTGACGAATGTGCCCGATGCTGTGATTTGAGCTACAGTGTTTCTTTCAATCAACACTCCATGATATAAACCCCCTGAATGTCGACCATATCGCGGTGTTGACCTTTAGTGTGAGTTCATGTGAAGGCAGCATCAGTCCTGGGAGATAAAGGAGACGCATCCTTTTTTGTCTGCAGTGTAAACGAGGCCACTGAGAGAATCAACACTGACATCTAATGTGCTGCTGTTGAAGAGAGATGTACAGCTGCAGGGGGCAAGATAGACAGAGAGAGTGATGAGTGAGAGAGAGAGAGAGAG